ATGGGGGTGGGGGTGGGGGTGGGGGTCCAAAACTTCTGGTCTCTGTATCTTTTTTACTCCCCAGTGTGTGAACAGGGGCCTCTTCCTCTTTGTGTGAAATGAGTTTTAAATTTTCATCATAACCAGGAGACACATCCTTCAATCAACTTTTTAAAAAAAACAAAAAACAAAGACATGAAAAGTGATAATTTTCAGTATTGACTGATATCCAGTATAGTTCTATCTGTGTCCTTATGTGTTCTCAGCCTGTAAAAATCTAGTATAGACACCCTCTGTTCTTGCCAATGCCATTTCTTTCTTTAGTAAATTTAATATCCATTACTAAAAGGTCAGTATGTAAAGTCAAAAAATATTCTTGAGTCCTGCAATTTTTCTTTTACTTTTTGACATTTTCCAGCAAGAACAGCAGGAAGATAAACGACCAAAGACCTACACACCGCGTCGCCGATACACACCATCCCCTCTCCCCCCACCCACTCGCCGGTCACTCCCTGACCTTAACGCAAGGACATATCATTTCAACCACATTAGTGGCGGAAATCCAGGTAGGCTACTTTATGATCTGTGTTGTTGAGTTACAGTCAGTGTTTATGATGATAGTATTAGATTGTAAAGTGGATGTTGTTGACGAAAATGGCGATGAATGATAGTGATGAGGATGATGATGAGGATGATGATGATGATGGTGATTAGATTAGATAGCTTTTGCTGACCTGTTTGAACTTACAACTTCAAACATTCACATGATGGTGATCTGGGATCTGTGCTTGTGAACTTAAGTATAATTAAAATGATGTGTATGTGTGATTGTTATAATTATATGAGTTCCCATTATATACATCTTATGCATGAGTACATAGATGTGTGCATATACATAAATCTATATATGTAATTATAATTACATATATGTACGCATGGGTGTGTGTATGTGCATGTGAACAACACATGAACAGAATAAGGCTTCATCTATCAAGGTGGAGAGAGGACGTTAAAAAGAGAAAGATTAAAAATTAGGCGTTTGTCTACTTATTTTTTTTTTTATAATTGAAAGTATTTTTATGCACTATCTGCAATCTTCTGGGCCCGTGTTCAGTATTTGTTGAACCTTAGATCTCTCAGAGTGCCGCACATTGCAGAACTATGCTTGGCTCTGCTTTGCCACTACCATAAGCAATGCTTCAGCATCATGATAACCAACACTTCTTTGCTTTTTCTCCCGCCTGTTATTCTACTTCAGTCAGCTGAGATTGGTACATTACACCGTTATTGTTGCAATAAACAGAAGAAACTCCAATATTTAGCTCACTAAAAAGCAGAGTCAAATAGAGTTCCTCATAAGTATTGCAACAGTGATGAATATAATGTATCATTTAAAGTGTCACCAGTTTGATTTTCATTCTCTGACAACATTTCATCTTCAATGAATAAAAGGATGATCAAGACCCTCATCTCTTCATCCCTTTTCAATATTTGTATCTGACCATCAAAATTAGAATAGTGTTCACAGAAGAAATATTAGTGCACAGTCTTCGCATTATAAGAATAAGACTGGGGGTTTTTTAAAGCATTTTTATAACATATATAGCTCTATTTTAATTTTACATTTAATTAAAATGTCTGATTAAGAATTACACTCGTGTGAACATGTGGGATATTTGGTAAAGTAAAGATTTTAAATCGTATACAAGTAACAAACATACATGTAGTCATTTGTCAGACACTATGTATTTAAAGGTTATCTAGGCTGTAAAAGAGTCTGAAAGTTAAAAGTTTAATTTTGCAATATAAAGAAAAAAATGTTTTAAGCTATAGACTATGTGTTAAGAAATGGGGCTTGAATCTCTTAATCATTGAGGCTTAAATCACATGATGCATCTTACTGGCTCACACTATAATATCTCTGTTGCTATCACTTTTAATATAAACTGAGCAGGTAAACTTTTTATCCCTTGTGAAGAGATTCCAGTTTTTCCTCTAGCACACACACACCTGTTTATGACATGTTCAATTTGTCCACAAGACTGACCCAATAACAATACATTTTGTACTATATTTTTTGGACTCTGTAACTTACACACTGTTTAAAATCTTGCTAATTAATTTATAGTTTTTTCATCTTTTTCTTTTTTATACCATAATTCTTTTATTATATTTATCCTCCTATGCATTTTTGTTTGCCATGCTTTCACTAATGTTTCACTATACACCTTTTGATATGGCTGTGTGACTGTCATGTTCGTTACATGAGACCCGTCACTGGAGATTCACTTTGTACAAGATCACACTTCTTACCAACAACATCAACAACATGGACGACAGCAGCAATATCAACGCCAAGTTGTCAGTAACATTTCTTCACAATCATCACCCAGCAGGAAAGGCGGACAAACGTACCGACACTCAGGTTTGGATATGCACCCGAGTTATGGTGTAGACTATCATATGTCAGAACATTACCAGGATTTTGTTGGAGACCTAGACGTAGTGCCTGAGATTGATGGCACGGAGCAGATGACGTATCGACCTGTACATGAACGTCTTGCTGCTGCTACACCACGGAGAAGGTACCACTTTGAGAGCTCTCGTCTGCCATCCAGAGTTTCCGTGCGTCTACTGCGGCCTGAAGAAGTTGGAGAGTCAGATTATGTCACTACAGAGCCCCAAGTGCTGCAGCCCCCGCATTATTTTGAGTCGTACAGACATCCAAGAGCCATAATTCAACAACCTCGAAGTGCTGGTCGACGGGTGAGGGGGGTAATTCATCACCCTAGAAGTCCAGGTGCTGCACACAGGGGAGGTAAACACCTGTACCGTGGCGTAGTGTGTGCGATCTCGCGGTGAGGGTGACAGCATTGACGGGTGATAGCGTAGTACCTTTCAGGGCCTCCATGATGCTTTCTGTCCCTAATACCACTACATTTCTTTGTCTATGCGGATAGAATTTCTTGTGATGACCTCTTTTCATCAGAACTCCTCTCATTTAAAATGTTACTTTCACTGTAACAAAGATTTTGATGGTAAAGTTTATAACACTCTTGTGATTTGTTTTTCTTTCTATACTATGGATTTTGCATTTCTTTGTATTTCCATTCATCATAAATATATGTCAACTAACGTTCATATTTCCTAGTATCATTTCCTTGAACCCTGCAGTTTTTTTGGTTTGCCTTGCTTATCCTATTTTCAGATCATCTCTCTGCCTCATAGGGGAAAGGTTTTCTGGAGTCCTTGTTTCTGTTTCGTCCTATAAACTTTTTAACCTGAACATCACGAATAAAAAGCTTTTTGTTCATTCCATGTCTAGCAAACTGAAGTTGTCTTTTGGACAATCTGTCAATACTCTCTTTTTAATGTACAGTAACTTTCTTGCCTGAATAATGGTAGTTTGCACTAATGTGAACTGGAAACAAATTTTATTGAAAGGTCAACCCAGATACATTTTCTTTTCTTTTGGTTTGCTTCATCTAGAGCATGGCCTTCAAAGAAAATATTTACATCCTGCGTAAAATTCTGATTTGGGTACTTAATTTGGTACCTCACATAGGTCTTTGGAGCGAGTGTAAAGCTTGACAGCTCAGAGCAGTTTGGTGACTGGGTAGCATGAGTGAAGACGGGCAGAAAGCTTTTCTGCTTTTGCCATCGCCTCGTAGGGGCACAAACTCTGATCTGCAGAGCTTCATGGTGGACTCGTCATGTGCAATTATGCCATCTGGGAAATCTTCATCCAGTAAGTGAAGGGAAGGCTTCGCTGTCTAACACATGGCATAGAACGCTTCTGATACATTTCAACTGAGCTAGCTGGTCATGCACACCATTTGAGATTACCAGAACCATGTTTTATGAGACCCCAGGTTCAAGAAAAACCTGGTGCTTTGTCATTGTCATAGACAGTATTGAAAACTTGTAGTAATAGCTGTAGATTCCATAACTTACTTATCAGGTTACTTGTCTACTTTTTTATTTCTTTTAAGAGTTAGAATCCACTTTTTCTTTACTTGGCTAATTTCTTTCTATTCTTTTTATGAAGTCTGTGATGTAGATTTGTAGAGAAAATGATAGATATTTGACTGTCATTGACACACTGATTCATAGTCTTATTTGGGATTTTTTTCTTGGTTCATTCCGGGTTTTTTTCTTTTTTTGTTAGTGCACTACTAACAACAATTATATAGGTTCTAAAACTTTGTCTCTGTAATAATATTATGCTCTGTGTTGAATACATTATATTAAATCTTTCTTGAAAGTATGTTATGAATATGATGTGTCATTGCCTAATAGAGAGCACACCGAAATAGATTATAAAACTATACGGTTTTCTTTTTTGTAATTTATTTGAAAAGACAAATCAGAGGTATACATTTTTTTATAAATAAAAAAAGTCATTCCAAATATAAAATAGAATGGAAACTTTCTACAAGGCAACACTTAAAAGTTTAATTACTTTCCGGAGTTTTGTTTGGTGGTACCGGTAACATGAACATCTCAAAACAACAGCAAACATTTTGTCCAGAGTTATACACAGAAAGCAGCAAAAGTTATTTTTGATAGTAACATACAATGAATTAAAGAAGGAAGAGAGAAGGAAGATAACTAGAACTAGATGTTTGATGGCAAAGGAAAAAACTGTCTGAACTCAAAAGTAACTGCCAAACACCCATGTGTATGAGCGTGAGAGTGAGAGAGAGAGAGAGAGAGAGAGAGAGAGAGAGAGAGAGAGAGAGAGAGAGAGAGAGAGAGAGAGAGAGAGTGTGTGTGTGTGTGTGTGTTTGTGTCTGTGTGTAGCATGTGAATGTACTGACGAGTGCAGATAATGTATTCATCATGCCGCAGCAAATTTCTCTTTTTGGAGTTCAATGAAATCACATCTTATTTTATAACTCTGAAAACGACTGCTCACACACCTGACCATACTCATTAATATTATCCTTTTAACTTTACTATTTGCCCAACTATACATTGTAGTAGCACTGTTGAAAACGCTGTAATAATCCATCTTACAACTTATACTGGTTGCATGCAGTGGAGTTCACATATTGTATGGTGCGTTTTTACTTGCTTGAGGTAGACTTAATCCACGTCTCTCTCTCTATATATATATAGGGTGACCTTATTTAGGCCACATATGGCCTAAATAAGCTAAACCCCCCTCCCTTACCTTATTTGGGCCACAGGTGGCCTAAATAAGCTAAACCCCCCTCCTTTACCTTATTTAGGCCACACCTGTGGCCTGAATAAGCTAAACCCCCCTCCCTTACCTTATTTAGGCCACACCTGTGGCCTAAATAAGCTAAACCCCCCTCCCTTACCTTATTTAGGCCACATATGTAGTCAAAATAACCAAACCAATGTAAAGCATTGTTTTCTTTACAAGTTAAATTATTATCTCTTTAAAACTCTTCACATCCATTTTCCTTCACAGCCGTATCGTACATGACATGTGATGTAGAATCAATTTAAGGTCCTTGGAAAGGTGACCAGAAAATAACAAAATTATTTTATGATCTTCACTTGCACTTGCAATTTTTTGGACAAATTAAAGTCTACCTAATTATATTTTTCCCCCTCATTTTTCTTCACTATAAATGACAACTGGCATGTATTGTTTTCAGTTATTATCAAGAAAGTGGATAGGCGGACTACGGGGTCTATCTAGCCAAAAGGATAGGTGGACCCCGGGGTCTACCTAACAAAATGTTAGGTTTTAGGATGTGAACCCCGGAGTCAGCATAGTGAAATACGTAGATCTAGGTTTAACTAAGGATCGGTGGACCCCGGGGTCAACATAATGAAATAAGTAGATCTAAGTTTATTTTATAATAGGACTGGCGGAGCCCGTGGTCAAAGTAGTGAAATTATAAGTAGACATAGGTTTAATTAAGGATTGGAGGACCACGGGGTCAATGTAGTGAAATCAGTAGATCTAGGTTTAATTAAGGATTGGTGGACCCTGGGGTCAATGTAGTGAAATAAGTACATGTAGATAGATCTAGGTTTAATTTTAAGGATTGGTGGACCCTGGAGTCAACGTAGTGAAATAGGTAGGTTTAAGGTGAACCCCAGGGTCTACCTAACGAAACACTAGTTAGGTTTTAGAATAGGTGGATCCTGCGGTCACCGTAGTAAAATAAGTAGGTTTAATCAAGGTGTCCCGGGGGTCCACCAATCCTTAATTAAACCTTCTTAATCCTCTATGGCCTTGGTGACTCCGGGTTCCACCAATCTTTAAAGAAACCTACTTATTTCACTGCGGTGACCCCAGGGTCCACCTGTCCTAAAACCTAGTACCAATCCTTACTTAAACCAAACCTTATTTCACTACGGTGACTCCGGGGTCCACATCCTAAAACCTAGTATTTCGCTATGCAGACCCCGGAGTCCACCTATCCTCTACAGGACTATACTATTATTATCAATTTGCAATTTTCATTGATTAGCATTTTTGTTTAAATATAATATTGAATCAGAGTGCAGGGGAGACCGAGGCGCCTGGTCGATTCGGTGGTCGGCTTTTGTAGATCTATGCATTTTTTACGGAAAGCCGTATTACCTAACCCTATTACTAGATCTATTAATGTTGTGAAAACTTCAACCTCTACAGCTCAGGCGTCAAAAGATGCTGGTAAATAATAATAGATCTACGTCCTGAAGTTTCATAATTTATTTTTATACAGAATAACACAGTACACAGTCAGTAGTTTTTATTTCATCGAGTTATAAAAATGGCCTTCGTATAAAAATTGCCTTGTTTTCAGAAGCAAGTTTTAATAGTTTTAGTTCTACCTAATCGATTTTCATGCGAATTCAACCATTTTGATGATCTTTCTTTTCCTTTTAAAAAGATGTAGATCTAGGCCTGTCGGATGTAGCAGTGCGAATAGCACTGAGTTGTTTAGATCTAGATCTAGATCTAGACCCATCAAAACACGAGGCTTCGTGGCCGATCACAAAAGTCTACAGGGCTTATCGAGGCCGATTCGCCCTGCCGCGAGCACGTTCACTAAACTGCCTACTAGATAGAATCTATACCAAATATTCTCTACACGATCTTTGCTACTACTACTACTAGGCCTACTAGCCTACATGTACTACTACGAGACAGTACGAGAGAGTGTCACTCAGGCAAAGATAGTGTAACTTTGACTCAGCCACGTAGTATACACACTTTTTATACCCCAAATTTAACCCGAAAGTCCATTCGGAGGATTTGACCTTTTCACTTGACCAAAGTGTGCCAAAATGGTAGCCTAGCTTTTGCCCCTCCATGAAGGAAAAATCCGGCCCTCATTCAAACCATTGGAATTGAGCAAAATTTTGCGTTTTGTGCTTTGTTCTTTACAATATTCATTATGGTTATGATTTATAAGTTGTACACTGAGGCAAAACCATACTAAATGAGAAAGGTGCACCATTATGAAAGTGGAATGAACTCAGTTGCCTGAAAAGGGTAGTTTGAACATGTGTGGCCTAAATAAGCTAAACCCCCCTCCCTTACCTTATTTAGGCCATATGTGGCCTAAATAAGCACTCCCATATATATATTTATATTGAGACTGGAGGAGAAAAACCCTTCTCTCCAACTGAACAATGATCTTTTTTACCATCAGGTTTTTTATGCTTTCTTTGTTTGTACGTGTGTATGTGCGTGTATGTATGTGTGTGTGTGTGTGTGTGTGTGTGTGTGTGTGTGTGTGTGTGTGTGTGTGTGTGTTTGTGTGACGTAGAAACTATTGAAATTAGATTTATGCAAACCTTGCTTGGTCTTCTCAAACCTTGCTTGGTCTTCTCCATGATAGTTTATTCAAGCAGACTCTTTTGTATTCATTCATCACATTCAATTTTTTTTAAATTTTCATATTGTCGGAGTAAAGCGTATAGTATTCTACCTTCAGAGAGACCTTTTTACTGACATCAGTGTGGGTTTTTTAAAACCGTAATAGTCGTAATAGTAGCCTAAGGCTACACTCCCTACCCCCTTCTGTCCAATTGTTTTGAGTTTATTTAATTATTTTTTTTTGGGGGGGGGGGGGAGGGAATGCCTCGTGTGTAAGTGAGAGAACTTCATAACATCCACCCTCCCTCCCCAACCCTCCCCCCTCCAAATTGACCAAGGGTAATTTTTAAAAAGGGCGATGACATTGAGACACAGTGTCTCACATAGCTTTCACCAACCGTGACCACTTATAAAACTATACTGCCTGTTTGTACAAGGTGGCCGGGTTAGTCTTGTCACTGTCACCATGCTCATTGTCCACAGACTACTAATACAATCTGACCCCGTCGTTTTATGCAAGAAAAATTCTGAATTTATGCAAACTGAGCCTAAAAATGTGAATTATGTGATTCTGTTAATTTTAACAAAGAATGATAAGAAAAATAATCAGAAACTATGCAAAAAATTATCAAATTTTGCTAAATTATGTGGGGTGCATAAAACCACGAGGACAGTACAATAAATTCGTCTTCTATTAACCCCTCTTTTCGTGCTGTATCTCCACCTCCTACATCAACCCCCAACCTGCGACCTCCCGTGGCTCTGGTTTGCCCTGTAGACATGTCTCAAGTGAAGCACGTGATAGAACATCAGTTCCGCCCAGCCCCCGCACAGCAACAGAGCTACCTGCCTCCCATACAAACACAGGCCTTGCCCGCTCTGACCGCAGTACAGGTGAGACAATACATGATGCAAGCATACACTCACACACACACACACACACACACACACACACACACACACACACACACACACTCACACGCACAAATTATGTTTGTGATTCAAATTTTTGCTTATTGTGTAGAACAGGATCAGACAGAGTTGAACTGCAGAGTATTTTTCTTACAGCGACCAAATAATGTTTGTTCAGTGCAGAGGAAAAGTGAGTGGGCTGTTGTGTGGGACTTAGGGACAACATCCTCCAACCACCTGTAGCAGGCAGAGTTGTAGGTTTGTCAAAATATAATATTAAAAAATTGTAGAATTCATGAACCTAATTTAACACATATTATATAAAATATATTATATATATACTTGTACATAATGCTTGTAGGTATACCTCACACATGTATAGTAGTAGTTACTGGTGATTACAATACAATACAATCTACTTCTGGCACTTTCACCCCACCCCCCATCTCTCCTCCCCATGTACCTCTAGCCGGTGACCCCCGCCGAGGTGGTCCCTTACCAACCAGTGACGGCCGTGCCAACCTACCCCATGCTCAGTGTCGGAGGAGGAGGAGGAGACAAGAGGAAGGACACCATGTTCAACAAATCAGGTAACTGAAATGTTATTAGGCTCTCAGACTTGCAACCGTAAGGTCGTGGGTTTGAATCCCGTCAAGGGCCCGACGTTGTGTCCTTGGGAAAGGCACTTTACACGAATTTCCTCACTTCACCCAGGTGGGAATGGGTACCCGGCTATAGACAGCGAAAGATCTTGTCAGTTTGTTAGTGTTTGAGTTTGAGCGCTTAATCGGCTGCTTGCACTGTATGCTTCCCGGGAAGCTGAGAATGTTTCGGAGTGTTCTATGGTCTGCTGGGGTAATAATATAGTGTAAAGCGCATAGAGCCTGCTGTTGAGCGGGGATATGCGCTATACAAATGCTAGCTAATATTATTATTATTAGTACAGTCAAACCTCGTTGTACCGCCCCCTATTATGTTACCAATTTTTGCCACGTACAAAAAGGAACACCTACAATATGATCATCAGATCGAATTTGTCCCTTCACACTGCCATCTGCCAACTGAAACTGTCTGAATTGTTGTAGGGTTCAATTTAGATCGAACTAAAGAAAATTTGTCCCGCCATACCTACAGCAAACTGACCACCAGAGGTACACACAGCATGTGGTGCACAACACCCACTATTTAGCTACTTGATAATCTTTTCCCAACGAAATACATATAAAATAAGACAGCTAGATAAAGAGAGAGAGAGAGAGAGAGAGAGAGAGAGAGAGAGAGAGAGAGAGAGAGAGAGAGAGAACAAGGCTCTCGGCTCTGAATGTGTGCATAGTATATATATATATACAACAGGCCCGGTAAAAACAGGGATCCGCTAATAACAGGGATTTTTTTAAATCCCCATTTTTTCCTACTATTTGTCACTATTAAAAGTTTTAGGCAATAACAGGGCATCATCGGAGCCTAAAATCGGTTATAGCTGGGACAAAGGCTCGTAACAATCTGTAAAAAGTGAGAGAGAGAGAGGGAGAGAGGAGAGAGAGAGAGAGAGAGAGAGAGAGAGAAATGCAGGGATAGAGCAAGCCCACGCAAACCACGCCACTGCAAGCACATGCAGTGGGTGAAGCGAGAGAGGGCTACAGTGTGCTGTAGACTTCGATCTAGCCCTAAGCCTAGCTACACGCACACGTAATGTGTCATGTGCAGGCCTGCCACATGGCCAAAACCCCTGTTCATAGGTACTTGTGGCAAGGGAAACTATCTATGAATAAATACAGCTGGAGGATTAGTCCACAAATGTTTACTTCCCTTGCATTTCTGATTTAACAGGGATCTGATATAACAGGACTTCTTCTCTGCTCCCACCATCCCTGTTGTATCAGGTTTCCACTGTACTAGTGCATGGCTGCTTCAACCTGGCCTGTTTTAAAGTCAACTCAGGCTGACTGAAGTTTAACTGCACTTACAACACAAAGGGTCATAAGTGCTGATGATTAGAGGTGTTATAAAGAGAAACAAACACAAAAAGGAGGACAGATCAGAATGATCGATGTTTGATAGTGATCTGTTAGAAAAAAAGAGTAAACCATGTGAGAGCACCTGCCAAACCCCCACTGAGTGGAATACACTGCCAGCATCCCAGAGGACAAACATCAGCAGATAAAATAACCCCCCCCCCCCTCCTGTAGGAAATCAATTGAGTTTGATGTGAAAACACTGGGTGAACAGAAAGAGATTATAATTCCCTGATCTTTTTTTTTCCCCAAATTTAGTAACCTCTCTTAACCAAAAATAAAATTTGCCAGTCCCAAAGACTTCAGTTTAAGCAGACCCTATATATATACTAACCATTCACTGTCATCACAGAAGTTGTGAACTTAAAAACTTAAAAAATAAGCAACTAAAAATCTCCACTATTAAATAAGAAATTAGATCTATGTGTCCGAGTCAGACACTAGACTAAAAAAAAAGGCCTCCTCTTACAATCCTACACTACACTGGGTCAAAGTGCAAGAGAACCAAAGGTGATGGAATAACAAGAAAAGATTCTGCTCAAAACCGTTTGTGAGGCATCTTGGTGAAATCAGGCACTCATCAAAAATAATTACCGGTAATGAAATTAAAAATCAAAGAAATCAGCATTTTTCGGCCAACAGGCAATTTTTTGGTAATTTTCTTTCTTTGGCTCAGCACCTTTTATGTTAATTTAAAAACACATTTTTTTTGTGGGGATAACTGAAAAACATTGAGTTAAGGCAAAGAAGATGTAAATTTTCAGTTTCCAGTGACTGTCAGGCTATGATCGTTACCAAAATTTGGCGGCCATTTTCTTGCTAATTTTACCTCTGAAACCAAGCGACCCTGACCTCCTTCAATTGCAAATATTTCAACTTCTCCTAAAGCAAGGCGAATGAACTGGCTTTTAAGATGGTACCAATAACCTCATTTCATTTATGCTCAAAAAATTGACGAGCGCCTGATTACCTGATTCCAGCACGTCGTGACACATTTTGTTTTGAAAGAACAATAATATTTTTATACCATAATAGGTCTATTTGCACTAGATTTGTCATGATAGTATTGATAGCCGAGACAGCCTTTTGTTGTCTAGTTAGTAATAGTAATAGTGATGGCACACAGTACATATATGTACACAGACAGCATTTTGTCGTAAACAGTAATTAGCAATTATAACACGCACACAGTGACAGCTTTTTGCCTACCCAGTGTCTATGGTGCAGCGGTTAAGTGCTTCCGCTCTACTGTCAGTGTTACATGCAGGAGACGAGTTCCATTCCCGAACGGGCAGAACATTTTCATCGAGTATCTTGGTCTTTCACTTTCTGCTGGGATGATATTATACACACATAGAGGCCTATCCCTCTCAGGCGGGATTGTCCCTCTGACAGGCAGAATTGAAGGCCTGCTACCGGAATGATCTAAATTGTGTCAATAGGGTCATAAAACAAAAACACCTTCAATTTAAAAAATAATAAAAATGAGCCTTTTCATCCTTTTGTTGTAATTGTAATATAATATTACTAAATATCTGTCCCCATCGTTTTATGCAAGAAAAATTCTGAAATTATGCAACCTGAGCCCAAAAATGTGAATTTATGCAATTTTGTTAATTTTAAGAAAGAATGATTATAAAGGAAAATTAAAAGGAATTATACAAAAATTGATCAAATTTGGCTAAATTAGGCGGGGTGCATAAAACCATAGGGACAGAAATAGAAATAGAAATACAGCTTTTTGCCATGATAAATGACAGTGATAGCCTACTCAACTGACAGTAGGCCTACTCGGTGACTATGTTAAGTCGTTGAGGAGCGACATTTTCAGGATACCACAATCTTAATCTTTATTAAGAACTAAGAAGAGTAAGACAAGAGTAAGAAACGGAGGCTAAACATTTTAAATCACATTTATTTTGTAATTTCAATCAACACAACAACTCTATGAATCATTCTCTTCTGAACTTTAAAAAGAAATGACAACATGCCAATGTCATGCGTAATTATGAACAAACTAAAAAAATAAAATACGTCATGTATCATGAGTCAAATGAGTGTATCATCAGATCATGTGAAACAACTAAATAACAAGGAACTCGTCACTCAGTCCCAGTGCCCAGGCTAACCGAGTAAAAAATGAGTGGAATTGGAATGATGCAATAAAATAAAATGCTAACAAGATTTTATTTATCCAAAACATACACTAAAAAAACAATTTTATCTGTATTGTGGTATGGTAAAGGGATGGGTAGGTTCATCACTCGTCTGCTGTGACTCGGACATTTCAGTAACCCACTTTCAGCACTTTTCAAGGACCCCCGAGCAAGCGTGGATTAGTTCCTGCGTGCTGTCGGCATCGTTGACCATTTAGGGGCTGTTCAGATATAATCTTACACCTTTTTGGGGGACTTTTTTAACCCCCC